GCATTCCTGAACCCAGGCTCCCCACCGTCTGACGTCCCAGCCCCCCCCACGCCCAGCCGAGGGACTGGCCTCGCCAGAGCCGCGGTCCCAGAAGTCCAGTCCCTTCTCCAGACCCTCTAACCCGAGGTGACTCGGCCCCAGCCCCTCCTCCCGCGAACATAGGACCCACCAGGCAGGAAGGCACTTGGATCCAAGGATCCAGGCCCCTTGCTTCCTCTGGACCCAGATGAGGGCCCTCGCAGCCTCCCAGGACCCAGGAGTTCAGGCCTCCAGCCACTACGATCCTCGACCAGCTGTAGCTGCCCAGTCCTCAAGGACCTAGTGTCCGGGCCTTCAGGGCCCTGAAGCCGGGGCTTGTCGTCTTTGCACCCTGAGACGGGAGCCTGAGCTAGGGACGGCGGGAGGAGGGGCGGGAACGCCTGGGTTCTGGCCTCTTCCTCCCCGATTCGGGTTTAACCCCTTCGGGCTCCAGCGCGGCTGCGCCGAGGTGGGGGCGGAGCCTGTCTCCGCGGCAACAAGGCCGGGAGAATCCCGGGGGGACCCGGGTCGCCATAGCAACGGGAGAGCCGGGGCGCCTCCGCCCCGCTGGAGCTGTTTCCCAGGGAACCGGGCCTCCACGGGGGCGGGCGCACCGTGCTCGGGGGAGGGGGTGGGCGCTGGGGTTTAGGTCCCAGGGAGCAAAGGACCAGGGGACCCTCATGCCAACGTCTCCCCGACCGTCACTGTCCCCTCCGCCTCTGTCCCTAGGCCCCGGGGTCAGCCCAGGTGGCAGGACTCTGCGGGCGCCCAACCCTTCACCGGGACCTGCGCACCGGCCGCTGGGAGCCAGACCCCCAGCGCTCCCGCCGCTGTCTCCGGGACCCGCAGCGCGTGCTGGAGTACTGCAGACAGGTGGGCGGGACCGACCGGGAGGGGCGTGGTCAGCGGGAAAGCGGGCCCCAGGTGGGGCGGGGCCGTCCCTAAAAACTAGACTTGCAAAAGCCGGGGTCCAGAGCGCTGCGGGATCTAAGAAGGCGTGGGGAGCTAGGGAGTGTGGCCAACCTAGAAAAGTTCGGCTAGGGCACCAGCCGTTTGGAGATACTAAGCTGGGAAAGGCGATGAGCCAGTGTTAGGAAGATAGCCAGAGAAGAGGTGGGGTTTAGCAAGCTGGCGGGCTTTGCAAAGATGAGAGGTATAGGTGACAGTGGCTAAAAGGCAGGCAGGCTAAGACAAAAAGAGACCGTATGGACCAGCAAGATGGAGAAAGGAGGAGAAGGAGCCCAGTGAGCGCGTGGGTAGCTAGGGAGAGTGGCTATGAAAGGCGGGTCTAATACAAAGAGAAGGGAGAGTTATTGAGAGGACGGAGAAAGAGGCGAGGCTTAAAAGAGGGTGAGACCTATGGGGAGATGAACCTGACTGGGGGGAGGGCTGGCCGTAGAAGTGGGCTCAGAGAAGTTGAGCTTACAGGCAGGTGGGAGGGCCTTCCTAAAGAAACTGGACCGGACAAGAGTAGGGCGAGATGGCGGGATTTTTAAGGGACAGCTGCTCGGGGGCGTGGTCAGTGGGCACGAGGGACTGGGATACCTAAGGCTGGTTCTAAGAGAAGCAGGAGTAGGAGGAGATGTCTTTATGAGTACTAGAATCTTGAAAAGGGACATGACTGGGAGAGAGAGTGTCTGGAGGGGACAGAGGGTTGATTTCCCCTACCGGTATCCCCAGATGTATCCGGAGCTGCAGATTGCACGTGTGGAGCAGGCTGCACAGGCCATCCCCATGGAGCACTGGTGCGGGGGTGCCCGGAGTGGCCGCTGTGCCCACCCCCACCACCAGGTCGTGCCCTTCCGCTGCCTGCGTGAGTCACAGGCTGAGAGAGGGGAACAGGGTGGGAGCTTCCAAGGGGCAAGGTTCTGAGCCCCTGTCTTGGCTCCACACTGAGGGGCTGGGTTCCTGGGTCCTCGGCGTGGCAGAGAAGCCTCTGAGGATAAAAGATTTGGGCTCCGAGGAGGGTGGGGTTGCTGGCAGTAGTAGGGTCTCACCCTGGTGTCCCCCGTTCCGCAGCTGGTGAATTCGTGAGCGAGGCCCTGCTGGTGCCTGAAGGCTGCCGGTTCTTGCACCAGGAGCGCATGGACCAGTGCGAGAGTTCAACCCGGAGGCATCAGGAGGCACAGGAGGTCAGGGCTTTGGCACACTCCCTGCCCCCTAGAACCCAGAAGCCCAGGCTCCTAACACCCTTCTCCACCAGAACCGAGGAGTCCAGGCCTTCAGCCCCCTCTTCCTACTGGAATCTAAGAATTTCTTTTTTTTTTTTTGATTGAAGTATCACTCCGTCACCCAGACTGGAGTGTAGTGGCCGCTCCCGGCCACTGCAGCCTCAACCTGCTGGGCTCTGGCGATCCTTCCACCTCAGCCTTCCAAGTAGCTGGAATTACAGGCACGCACTACCACGTCCAGCTAATTTTTGATTTATGGTAGAGATGAGGTCTCGCCAAGTTGCCCAGGCGGGTCTCGAACCTGCGGGCTCAGGCAGTCCACTCACCTCAGCCTCCCAAAGGCACGGAATTACAGGCTGAGCCACCGAGCCCGACTGAATCTAAGAATTTCTTCTCCCAAACCCTTCCTCCAGAACCAGGGCCCCAGGGGCTCCTCAAGCCCCAAGACCCAGGCATTCAGGACCCCCTCTATCCCTTCTGCTCCACAACCCTGACATCTGGGTCCACTCTTTCCACAGGCCTGCAGCTCCCAGGGCCTCATCCTGCATGGCTCGGGCATGCTTTTGCCCTGTGGCACAGATCGCTTCCGCGGTGTGGAGTATGTGTGCTGTCCCCCTCCAGTGACCCCCGACCCATCTGGAACAGCAGTTGGGTGAGTGGGAGGGAACCCTCCATGCCCAAACCCAAGGCTTCTCAGGCAAGGGATGGAACCCTGGGAGCCTGGGCCTGGGGTCTTACTGTCTGGGTCTTCTGCTCCCTCAGTGACCCCTCCACCCGGTCCTGGCCCCTGGGGGGCAGAGTAGAGGGTGGTGAGGATGAGGAAGAGGAGGAATCCTTCCTACAACCAGTAGACGATTACTTTGTGGAGCCCCCGCAGGCTGAAGAAGAAGAGGAGGAGGAAAAAGTCCCACCCCCAAGCTCCCATACCCCTGCAGCGGTCAGTAAAGGTGAGGCAGTCTCTGAGTACCCAGACCCCTCTATCATGGAGGAACAATGATTTGGGAGAGCCTTGGTGTGGGGCATCTTTGGAGAGGCCTGTGGGGGAGAAGCCCAGCTAGAGGGAATGGAAGAGATAGGAGCTGCTTTGGATAGAGTACAGCCTGTGAACAATGCAAAGGGATGGGGTGGTTTGGGGGTACTTGGAAGTGGTGAGGCCTCTTAGTAGGACCTAAGAGTCATTTTGGAAAGCTTGGAGGATGGTGTAATCGATTCCTAAGTTGTGCAAGAATAGGCCCAGTCCAGAACTGCATCTCCCATGATGCATCTCCCAGAACTGCATCTCCCATGGCTAAACCGAATGCATAATGGTCTCCAGTGCACTCTAGGAGAGGACAAAAAGGTGGCCTGGAGGTGGGCTGCAGGCTGACCCCCGATCCCTGGTCTTG